TGTTCCAGTAGAAACGGAGGAATGACGGAGGAATGTGAGCCATGCAGTGATGTAAGGAGCTCTCTGATTGGTTAGAGAGAGAGCGCGTCACCAGAGTTACTTACTATACGCTCTAGTGTCTTGTTGCGCTGCAGAGTACAGGCTGTTGTTCCTGCACATGGCGTGTTATTCACACTTGTAAAGTCTTCAGCTGTGACATATGAAGAATAAGAAGTGACAGTAGAGCGACACAGAGCCCTTATCCTCACAGTGCAGCGGTGGATTCAGCCTGTTTAAGGTAACTAACAATGCTAATGCTGTCAGACAGCACTGAGCTGTTACAGTCATACACAGCGTCACAGCAGTCTTTAAAATAGTGATTAAAACGCTGCCTGTAAACACAGTGTCATCAGACAGGATGTCATCACTAAACTTTCAAACAATTCAGATTAAAATGAACTGACAGGAAATCTTTCCTTGTATTACTGCACAAGGAAAAGATTGGAGATGACAAAAATGATTTAATGGATTTTATTTTCATTACACGTGTGCACACTTTCAATCTGAATGACGGACATAAATGGTGATAGTAGTGTGTGTGTGTGTGTGTGTTAAGAAGCCATTTGTGTCTGTGTGCTAACAACTATGTGCTAACCAGATTATTTCCCATTTAAAGAAACAAACAAAAGAACAACATGCATTAAATTATTTCATTGTAAGAATCTGATCCATAGTTCTCACTTTGCAAAGGCAGCCTGACTACATCACTAATTGACATGTTAAAATACGTCTTTTTACAATCTCCACCTAATCACCATCCAGCAGGAGGAGCAGTGAGTCCTGAGGCTGTGCTACCAACCAGGATTTCATCTGATCCAGGTAACTTCAGGGTCTCTGTACTGCTGGGGTAAATCACCACGGTAACTTAATCAGATTGGAGATCAAGAATACTGTAGTTTAGCTTTTTCTCTCACGCTGCTGATTTTATATAAAATACACAACATATATTTTAACTTTACTTACTCAGTAAACCCTGGTAAACTTAACAAACTGAGCTTTGTGTGACTGCTTATTCTGTTGGGGTAGTTATAGGATATTCTGGGTGTGTTGAACTCACTACAGACTTTACCTCAGATGTGTAACTTCTGACTCATAAATGCGTGTTTCAATCTACACTGTGTTTCAAAATCCAAAGCAATTTGACCACAAGCAAAAACCATTTTACTAATGTCTACGTAATTTACACACAATTTACTTTCAGTTTCACAAGTCTGATAATTTTCTTGCTTCCTGTGAGCACACATGTCTAAAAATATGTGACTCTATTTTTAACTTATGTGCAGAACCTTAAATGTGTGAAGGAGACACACACATCATGTCACATGCCCACACTTATGCTACTGTTAGCGTTATGTGCTCTCAGCTAACATGTGATATCCTGTCATATCAGGTAATTCCTTCGCACATTTGCTGAACATAAACATTTTGGAGGGTAAATAATCACTATTCACTGTTGGATGTACACATTTGTAAATCTTAGTTTATGTTTGTGGATCATATCAGAAGCTTTGGTAACACAAACCTCTTGTGTATTTTCAGTTTCTCAGCTTCTCTTTTAAAATATGTAACACTCTGAATTTGGGATCTGCAGGACAACCTGAGATGGATGCTGGGAAATCTGAGATATTCTGCTGGATTCTGCTCGTCTGCTTTTCACTGGCTGCATATGCAGGTGAGACCAGCAGGTATCACTGTGTCTACTGCTGGGAATTGAATTGCTTTCATTGACACTTTATATATATACAATTTAGATTATTAAATTCAAAATAATTATAAAGCTCATTTACACCATGTTCACATGTATCAGCAGCACATTTGGTCTGCTGATAGGAGGAGGGACAGAGGGAAGTACTGAATAGTTGTTGCTGAGCAGGGATGTTTCATGGGATGATGACACAGCAGACTTTTCCCGGTTTTATCTCACACACATATTATGTGAAAATTGTAAAGAATGACCAAAAGGTAACAAAAATAGTACCAATAATCTTGATGATGATAGAAATAAGAGACAGGTTTGTACAATAAGTCAGAGGCTGTCCACCTTCATAGTAATCAGATCAATCATTTAAAGTGATCAGCGTTTGCAGTCCTGTAGCTCAGAGTCCATCTCTGGACGAAGATGACGAAGATGATGCTCAGTGTGGTGAAAGCTTTCATCAGAGCTTTGATCTCTGATCTTCGCTGAGCCGCTGAGCCGAGTTCTGAGCTCTGCTGCAGGTTTCTTCTGTGTGTAACCTGAACGAGGGACAAGTGCTGCCAACACTGTGTGTGTGCTGTTTAAGTTGTTATTGTTTATGACAGCATTTTATAATGACTGTAAGTGCATTTATCATTTTCCACACAGTCACAGCTCCAGCAGACACACACTAGTTGTTGAGTCAGATTTGTTATTCCCAGAAGTTTGCAGCTCTAATGTGGATAAAATGCCTCTCAGGTAAAAACAGTGGACACATATTAGCATTAAGGACGTGTCTTAAATGTAATTAATCAGTTTGTATAGTTATGGTAAGCAACTCTCTGCCTACACTCTTATAAATGTGATTAAAGTGAATTATTTTTGGCTCTAATTAGTAAACACAGAGTGAGTCGGCTGCTTGAAAAGAGCAGTGAGGGAACTGTGGCTCAGGTTTGAGGTTCAACCATCATCGACCAGAGCACAGTGGTCTCTGATCATCTTCCTGATTGGCTGCTGTACCAGTCAAGAGTTTAAACTTTGACCTTTAACCTCTCTGCTCTGTGTTGTTTCCTCTTTCAGACCAGAAAACGATCACAGCTGAGTCTGGACAGAACGTCACTCTGACATGTCGAGCTCCAAACAACAACATCATTGTTGTTGTAGAGTGGAGCAGAGCTGACCTGGACCCAGATTATGT